AGATATAGATATAGATATAGATATAGATATAGATATAGATATAGATATAGATATCTCGTACTCACCCGCGATTTGTGCCCCTTGAGCGTGTGTAGCTCCTTCCCAGTGGCCAGGGTGCGCACGTAGAGCGCATTATCCTCGCAGAGCGCCAGCAAAAATACCTGCAACAGCAAGGCGAAAGGACGAAAGGACAATGTGTATTAAACGCATTTAATTGACATTTTCAACGCCATTTTAATGCATTCCCTGCCATTTGATGGCGACAAAAGCCCAACTCAATCAGTCTGTCTCACTTTCTCTCTATCGCTCTCTCTCTCTCACTCTTTAGCCTGCTTGCCTACGCAGTTCTGTTTATACTGTTTGGCCCTATCCAATCAAATATTAATAAATTGCATTCCGCAGTTGAAACTTTTGTTAAGGTACACTGAGCGAAAAGGGTGCTAAGGTTGGGTAAGTATAGTAAATGGAAATAAGAAATAAATATATACTTTCTTTAGTGGGAGTGCTCATTGATTTGCTTATATATAAGTGAATTAGAATCTTCCAGCTTATCTCTTATCATTCATAAAGCAAAGGAATAATAAATTGATAATATGAGGAAATTAGAAATTAGAGAGAGATAGAGAGAGAGAGAGAGTGGGGGCGTGTAAAAATATATATTTTATTTTATTTATTTATTTATATATTTATCAGACCTCTTTCTTTATTTCTTCTACTTTCCCTTCTTTTTTATCAGACTTTTGTTATAGTTCCCTGCCTCTTTCTTTCACTCTTTGCCACTTGTTCTTGTCTTGATCTCTGTTTTACTTGCATTTCGCCCATTCGCCTTCATTACTTTTATTCTCAATTTCTCCCTCAGTTTCTTTCTGCATTTACTCTCATCTTTTTGCAGCACTTTCCGTTTTATACTTTCTCTACCTTTGCTAAGATTTTTCTACTTCGCACTGAAATATAAATTGAATAGCTCTTATCCTTTCTCAAACAAATTCAATTTATCAATCCAAAAAAAAAACATTCAAAATTTAAGTTTTTCTCTTTCTGGTAAAGCGCCAAATCGAATATTGTTTTCCTCTTATTCCGTATTTCATTTTTTGCCTCGTTTTTTGTGAGCATCCTATCTTTCCTCTGATTGCTTTTAAATATTAATAAATTTCTCGCCGTGTGCTCGCAGAAAAAAAAGAAACGAAGCAGGAGCAACTGGGGCAGGCTGGGCTGCAGTATTTCCAGCGAGTCGGGAAATTGAAAAATGCCAACAACAACAACAACAACAACAACAACGAGTACTGAAATAAGAAGAAGTCGTCAGGCTGAAGCAAATGACAAGGACGGCAGTCGCTGGGGCCATTTGGCTCATTGCAACATTTCAATTTTCAGGGGAAATAGCCCGGCCAGAAGACGCGCGGGCAGCGGGTGACGGCGGAACGAAGTGAGACTTTAGCGTGCCGCAAAGCCATCAGGATGTAAGCTAAAGTGTAAGAAAGTTGATTTCCGTTTGCCATTTGCCATTCGCCATGCGCCACACGGCTGTCCAAGGAATGCCATGGCCTCGCCTGGCCATGGCTGGATAAAGGAATTGTCTCTCAAGTGGCTGGCTAGCTGGCACACACACATAGGAGTGTCTCATGTGTGTGTGTGTGTGTGTTGTGTAAAATTACATTTCAATTTTGAGGCTCAAATTTTGTGCGCGAACGAGCTGCTTAGACGCCGGTTATCAGCGACGTGCTTATAGCCAATTTGTTCAATTTTCGGCACTTTGGCTTAATGCGATAAGGCCAACAATGTTGCCTTATACTTTTGGCAACAGTACACCGAAATGCGAGTTGTCTAATTGAGATAGAGAAGGAGTAAAAGAGAGGGAGAGTGCGTGTGTGTGTGTAGATTCCCCCCTCTCTCCAAGTGTGCCTTGGGCTTGCTCTGCTTTTGGTAATTCAAGTGACGCCGCTGTATCCAATATCAGCATCGTGTTATCTGAGGCGAATGGAATGTGCTTTAAAGCCCTGAGGCATTCACCTAGCTACACAAATGTTGCCTGTCGCGAGAGAGAACACCCACCCACACACACACACACACAGCGAAACATGCATCAATTGTCGCGCAGCTAGGATACTTCGTAGCCCCCTAGATACCTCATAGTTGCCATTGACAGAACGTCTCTATTGATATTGTTTTGCGTGCCAAATTGCTGCTAAGTATGCAATACATATTGATAGAGATAGACACGAAACACACACACACAGAGAGGGAGAGAGAGAGAGAAAGAGAGCGAGTTAGCAACAGAAGCAGTTGCTACAGCTTTTTGTCAAGCTGATTGACAACAAAGGATTTGCCTCGTAATGCGGATCTTCTAAGCCAAAATCACTTATTAGAATCCACCCGCCAGGCAAACGGCAGAGCAGCCGCTGCCGCCGCTTCTCTAGCTCACTCTCTGTCTCTGCTCCCCCGTCCCCGCCTCAGCCGGCTCCATTAAGCTGTGACATGTTTCAGCTTTAGCTGCCGTTGCTTTAAGCACATTTGTATATTCTAGCATTTTTATTATATTCTTTTGCCAGCTGTATCCATCAAATGCAGCTTTAAAGAAAGAGTGAGACAGAGAGAGAGAGAGAGAGAGAGAGAGAGAGAGAGAGAGACAGAGAGAGCGAGTGAATTGAGCTGTTGTCATGAAATTCTTGGCTAAAACAGAGATTTCTGCCATTTTTGCTATTTGGCCAACGCACACACGCAGCTGGCATACTTATGATGGGCACAAATCCTTTATGGCCTTAAAGCTCACACAGCGCTCCACAAATGGCATGCATGGCGCATATTATTGCAGAATTTAATAATCCACATAAATAGGCGGACGAAATTCATGGCGAATTTCAACTGCTAATTGTTCTGCTCAAAGCAGCCTAAAAGAGATAAAACAGCATCAAAATTTATATATACAGATGGGCATGTGTATATGTATGTCTGCTCTCTCAATTTATATATGATTCAGTATAAATTTGAGTAGCTGCATTCACGTTTTTATTGTTTATAGCCAGAGACAGACAGCAAAAATAAGAGAAAATGCGACAGAAATTTATTTCTTTTTGTTGATAAGACTTTAACTTTCATTTTTGTTTTCATTTTAACGAGAAAATTTAAAAGCTCTGAGAATGCTAATATATATGAGTTGACAAAATATATGAATATATAAATCAACAGGAATTTCAACTATACCTGAGAATAACAAAGATTCAGCTGGAAATTATTTAAACGAAAATTGTATAAAATTTAATTTTAGTTATATTACATTTGTAAGTTTTTAGGCAAATCATAAATATACATTTAATTAAAATTTAATCAGCTAAAAATTCCTTTGTATATATGAGTCAAATTTATTTATTTTGTTATCTAAATATACCTCCAACTAAATGGATAGAAATAATAAAACAAACAAAACTAACTAATCTTGAAAATTTATGACATTTCGCTCAATTATTTAAAGAATTTTCTCTTTCAATATAACTCAAAATGAACAAGACTGCCTGAAGTGAAGTGAGCGACTAGTAGATACCCTAAACCATTTAATAAAAATATGAAAAGTCGAACAGACAAACATACTAAGAGACAGGCATGTCTAGATAGACTTCCTCGTCCACCTTCTCCTGCTCAAAAATATGTATACGCTTTGTGTTGCCTGGCAAGCCTCCTGCTGGCTGTTTCATACGTTTTCACAAAGCCATAATAAACTGAATTCACATTTTCATTGCGCTCAGGACATAAAAAGCAACGGTTTCCAGTTGGCATCTGAGCCAAGCATATAACATTTTTTTATTATTTCATTTGAAATGCATTTGCCAATAAGTAGAGCCCCCATGCATGAGACACGCATATGCGACGGCTTGACTAGCGTAGGAAAAATAGTACATGGTCATATGTGAATATTAAATTTGCCTACTTGAATATATTTTCTATGATATATTGAGGAAAATTTTATACGAAATTCATTAAAAACTTTTATCGTAGAGGTAGATATAGTTGCCTGAAGGAACGGTGTAAAAACTATCTACACTATTATTTTATTTTTAGATATAATAATAATAAATAATAATAAAAATACAGTCTTTTTTGTATATATATATAAGGTTATCATATATATAAAATCATCCATCTTTTCTCTAACTTCATAAAATACTTTTCAATTAAATGTATCTTCATCTCTTGTCCTTATAAAACCCAATTGCCCAATGCGTTATATAAAACTCATTTAAATAAATTATACAATTGCCAATTACTATTCACTTTCTACTCTAATATATCTGTTCTCTAAAATCTGAAAATACTATTCAATTTAGGTCTATCTCCATCTCGATTGTCCTGTCAACTACTTTATGGTTTATTTGCTTTCGTGTCCGACTAAGCCTTCTCCTGCCAGTGCCCAGCCCGAGCGCTGGCTGGAAACTGCTCGGCATATATCAAATGGATTTATGAGTGCGCCTGACTGGCATAGACATCATAAGTGGAGGGCATTTGTCAGGCCGACATTGGCCATGGCTCTGACTGCAGCAAGTGCTCCAAGTTATGGCCGTACTTACCGAATTGCAGGAGATGTCGATGCGCAGCACCGAGCTGGTCATTTGCATGGTATTCAATAAGGCGTAGTTCTCCAGATCCCACACGCAGATGTTCTTGTCGTGGCTGCTCGAGATGAGCACATCGCAGGCGCCGGCGACCAGGATGCCCGTAACTGGGCCACGATGGAAGGTGATGCGATGCACCTGTAAATCAGAGCAAAAACAACTGTTAGATGAGCTCACTGAATGCAATCGAGTTTTTATGGTTCGATTGAAGTTGATTTAAGCGAGGTCAGCTGAGCGGGGCGGGGCTGAAAAGGCTGGCGTGACACATGTGAGGCTATATTTAAGTGTGGCTGTGTGTGTGTGTGTATTTCTCTGTCTGCCTGCGTGTGTGGCACACTTTGTATGCATTAAGTTAATTACCGTTTGGCATGCGATGTTGACAATGTGCACGAGCAAACGTTGCCAGCACCAGCCCCCCGCCCCAATAGCTACCCCCACCCCAGCCCACCCTCTTCACGGCACAGCTTACACTAGGTGTGTATATGCGAGTCGAAAGTCACACAGAAATGCCAAAACTTTGATAAATTACCCAAAAAAAAAAAAAAAAAGGAAATATATATATACATATTTATATATACGTAAAAAACAGCAACAACCCGAAAATGCGAAAAGCAGCGACAGCAACATGAAAGCAAAGCCAGCAGACAGCAGCCAGCAGACAGCAGCCATCATGACTCTGCGTACATGGCGTATACTTAATATTGTAATTAATTTAATAAGCGCCTGTAATTTGGTGTGTTTCGCATGTGTCGACGTCTGAGCTCTGCGCTGCTCTGCTCTGCTCTGCTATGCTGTCTGCCGCGTCATGCCACAGTTAAGTGTAAAGTCTGCACTTGACTAGCTTTCAAATTCTGTGGCAGTCAGCGAAATTGGCTTTTTAAAATATGCTAGTCGACATATTTTATTTTTTATTTTTATTTTACGCCCAGCAAGTGGTAATAAAGTGTGTATGCTGCCGCTCAACACCCACGGAAGCAAGCCAGGAGGTCCAAGGACATGCCCAGCCGCACTTTATATGCAAACATTGCATTGTAGTTAATCACAGTTTAATGTGCCAGCTCCTGTGTGCGTGTGCCTGTGTGTGTGTGTGTGTGTGTGTGTGTGTGTGGGTGTGGACATGTGCGAAATTTCCGCATAATATGATTTATGGTTACATGGGCATAGGCAGGCGCTTCTTGGCCGGTATGTGGGCCGCTTCATTTGTCAGGCATGCCACAAACAAACACAAATTCATGTTTAACCAGTAGCAGGACGCTTGCAAAGAGCTAATCGACCAGCAGTTACGCTGTTAACTAACAGCAGCGGTGCTACTGTGCTGATAACAGAGCAAATTGAACAGAGACATAGCGCTAATGGCAGCTTAACATACTATGTTATTCTACATAGCTGAGTATGTGAGTTCTGTTATTGTAAGAGACTACAGAAATGTCTATAACAGACTAACAGGCAACAAAGGCTGTGTAACAGCTGCTTAACAGAGCAACAAAGGAAAACGATTTTATAGCAACTGCTATATTTATATGAGAGAGTTAGAGTAATTAAAGTAAAGTGTTATAATATAAATATATTAACATCAAGCTTACATGACCTATATATCTATATATAAATTATAAATAGTTCTACAATTTTCAATAATCAACATTTAAAAGTTAAAATGAGAATCTAAAATTGCATTAAGAAAATAGGAAAATATCTAACAGCTGCCTAGCATAAGCTAAGCCTGTTGCCAGCTAACAAATATGTTAATTACGCTCACATACTGTAAACCCAAACAAAACCCAAGCTCGGCTAAACTAATCTGAAGTTAAACAAAAAGCCTTAAGCGTATGCAAACATAAATCAACCTTTTGTGACTCTTAACTATGATATAGGGTACAGCAGCTGGCAGCACACTACACACACAGAGAAAGAGAGAGAGAGATACATGTGTGTGTGTGTGCGTGTACAGTAACTGTGATTACGACCTCGTTTGGCGCAAAGGCAAGGAATTATGCAAATTAATGCGGTTTGTTTGCTGTGGATCGCGTCGCGGTCGCGCAATTAGGCGACAGCCAAATGCATTTAAGAACTTTAACATTTTCGAGCTAACATTTCAGTGCTCTGCTCGGCAAATGTGTGCATATTTAAGCTAAATGCCAAATGGTATTCAATTAAACAGCGTTGGCCTTTAGCTTTATCTATTTAAATAGGGTGAGGGTGAGGGTGAGGGTGTGGGTGAGGGTGAGGGGGAGAGGAACACACTTACCAATTTGCCGCTGGCGAGGTCTGTGATGGCAATTGTTGCATCGTCGCTGCTGCTAATGATCAGCGTGTTATTGACGCCAGCTGCGACGCCCGTTATGGCCGCTGTGTGGGCTCTGCAAAGAAAATGGGAGAGAGGGAGAGAGAGAGAGAGAGAGAGAGAGGAAAAATTAAAGCCGATTAGGTACCTGATTCGGCAAGGTCAGGCCTGTGCACTCACTTAATGTGCGCTCGTCTTTCGCGCAGCGACACGTGCCACACCAATACGGTCGAGTCCTCGGAGCCGGTCAGCAGGAGTTGCGATTGCTGGGGCGCCACCAGCAGGCACGTGACTGCCGCCGTGTGTCCTGCATGACGATGATGATGATGATGATTAGCTCGTCTAATGGCAGCACCGTTAATGACACACTTACCCTTGTACGTATGCTCCAGCGAGTTGCTCATGATGTGCCACTGCTGGACGTCGCCCGAGTTGGTGGCCAATATCAGGTGTTGGCGCGAGGGCGCCAGGCAAACGGCGCGTATGACGCCCGTGCCGGTCACCGTCATCGTGCGTATCTGGGAGGGCAGCGGCGCGGGCAGCCAGCCGGTGAGCGGCACCAGCAGCGGCACGGCGTACCCATCGCACCAGGCCGTCGCCGAGCGCACCGTCATACTCAGCAGCGAGTTGTCGTCGTCGTCGTGCTCCCCGATGGGCCGCAGCCAGGAGACCAGCTGGGAGCCCAGCTGCATGGGATCGCGGGTGAGCACGTCGCTCGACTTGCGTATGGTGTAGTAGATGAGCTCGATGTCACGATCCAGTATGTAGCAGCGCACGTGCTCGATTAGGCAGCGCAAGTAGCTAATCGATACCGTTTGCACCTGCAAATGCCCAAGGCCGAAATTGTGGCATGAATTAGCATGTTACATATACGCCTCAATATATAAATTCTGTATATATATGAGTATTTGTATGCTATGTGTGTGTGTGTACTAATAATAAGCAGCGGCAATATTACGTATACGCCTTGTGTTATTTGGCATATCTAAACAGCTGCACGCATACGCCGCAAAAATGTTTAATGTCTGGGCAGCCGCATGAATATTAAGTATACGCATTGTATTCGCCTCTAATTTAGCTTTAAATTACGAACATTCTGTGTGTGAGATGTGTGCTTGAATATTTCAATATTAAGTATACGCATTGTATTCGCTTGTAATTTAGCTTAATGAAATATTACGAATAGTCGCTGAAAGAGATGTTGATGCTTTATTATGCCTAGCTTGGATATTACGTATACGCATTGTATTTGCTTGCAGAGTGTGTGGAAGTTAGCTAAATATTACGTATACGCCTTGTAGTGGATGGTTCAATTTGGTATGTAGATTAAAGTGCAATTTGCATATTAAGTATACGTTTTATATGTAAATATTACGTATACGCAATATAGGCAATTGCTTTAATAATTTTGTTAGAGAACTATCGAATGATTGCCTTGAATAAAGTCAAGAGTATTCTTAAATTATTTTAAATAGTTATTGAAACTCTAAAATAAACATAGAGGTATTCTTAGTCCAAGTTATTTAATATCAATTGCAAAAGCTTGCATAGATATAAAGCCAACTTTATTGCTTCCCTGTCAGTTGATTCTGTTGTGCCCATAACAAATGGCCGATCAAAGCGGGCAAACTGACAAATTTTGTTAGCCCAGTTGAAAAGTTTTCACACAGAGTTGCAAAATATGGAAACATTTTTAGCCACTGACCTTCGGGCGAGTTTTCGGGGGGCTTCACCAAAATGTTAATTAAATCAAGTTGCAGCTGCAGCGGCAGCACTTTTATGCATTCGCTTAATTGGAAAGCAGGTCAGCTAGCAACACACACACACACACACACCTACACAACTTGCTGTTGAGAGCTGCCGAAATAGTGGCACGTGTCGAGCTTGCAGCAGCTGCAACAGTGTCGCAGGGCATCATTTTTCATATGCCATTGAGCTCAGCATATTTCCGATTCCTGCCAACTTTCGTCTCGTGCCCCTTTTTATGCGTTGGCCAACATTTAACTGCTGCACATATTTTGCATATATTCGCATGAATTGCATTTATTTTCGATGTCGGCCAACAATTTATGGGCAAATGCATATTTCATCTGTCAAGCAGCGATAAATTCGTTATAAAACTCGGCACTTTTTGCTTGGCTTAATTCGATTTGCCAGCACAAAAGCTGCTTAAATAATCATGTCCGACCGTCCCTTGTCTAGGCAATGCAAAAAAAATGCTGGAAAAAAACACGGAAAACTCTGCCAATTTCAGCGGCTGTGCAGCGCGATTCGGCGTAATTTCCGCACGAACAACTTTCATAATGAATGACGACATTTTAAACAATTAAACACCAAATGACGTTGGCAGCTGTCCCAGGCTGTCCCAGGCTGTCCCAGTCTGTCCGAATCAGTCCGAGTCAGTCCCTTGCTGGACCTGTCAGCCCATTGTTTTTAGCCATAATGCTTCATTCAGTGCTGCAATTTGAGAATTCTCAGCAGCTGGACAACTGAGAGATAATTGCAGCTGAGCTCTTTTGGTCTACAGTTTTAGCTTTTTTTTGGGGGCTAGAAATTCGCTAGGCTTCAATTAATGCGAATAGGAGTTTTGTGTTCATTATTTCTAATACCTCTTCAAGCTGATACTGAGATTGATGAGTTCAAACTTATTCATAGCAAAATCTAAGACTCAAAGCTGAAGCAAAGATGTCTTGAAAATTTCTTCATTTCAATGTTAAATGAATTGTTTATATAGATAAAGCAGACAGGCGAAAAGTTGCGCATATTGCATTTGTCTAAATAACGGTAACATCTCAGCTATTGATGCCTTAACACAAATTGCCAACAGTTTTGCAACTCTTAAATCTGATCAGAATTTATGAAGCAAAAATAAAAGATATGAGCCTCAAGTTAGCCTGTAAAACTTTTAGCGCAAATAGTTGGAGCGAGGAGAGAGAGAGAGAGAGGGGAGTTCAGATTGTTTCGATTTGATGGGCTGTTTAAAAGTTTATTAGACAAGTTGATTGCTTGCTGTTGTTGTTGTTCTTGTTGTTGTTGCTGGCTTGTGACAATGCTGTAAATTGCGTTGATCGCAAAGGCATTTCGCGGCTCTGCGTTGCAAAACTAATTTCCGCACGGCGCAACTAATTGCGACTGCTCGTTAAGATTGTAGCTAATGGATAGGTTGGGAAGATGGGAAGATGGGAGGCGGTGTGTGTTTCAAGGGTCGGGCTGGCTGTCAACTTACCGCCGCGAGCAGGAAATCAAAATTGCAGACTGCGATTTGCTTGAAGCGCGTCGTGTCATCGGACCGCATCAGATGATGCCAGCTCTCCTCGACGTGCCGCATGCTGTACGAGACATCGGCAGCAATGGGATTGTAAAAGGTGGATGTGTCGTCGTTGTGATGCGTTGACGATGATTTACGGCCAGCCGAAACGTTATCCTTTTCACGTTCCTTGTCCTTGTGCTGCGGCTCACGCTCCCGCAAGCTGATGACAGACTTTGTATCGCTTCTGGTCGAGTCGTTCTCCAGCGTGCTCTCGTCCTCGTCCTGTGGGAAAAACAAATTGGCCAGCTCCATGTGCAGGCTGCGTGTGCGCTCCGCGTCCATGTAACGCTGCTTGGCGATGCTGGCACAATAGTTGTGACGCCACTGTAGAAGCACTTTGCCAGACATGATTTTATCGTGCAGCAACAATCGCTGATCTGTGGACAAACGGGTAAAAAGGGAAAGATTTTATATGTAGATAGAGATATGGATAAATGCATTGATGGTTAGATATATAGATAGATGTATAGATAGATTGATAGATGGATAGACGGATAGATTGATATATAGATAGATGGATAGATAGATAGATAGATAGATGGATAGATTGATATATAGATAGATGGATAGATGGATAGATAGATAGATGGATAGACGGATAGATTGATATATAGATAGATGGATAGACAGATAGATAGATAGATAGATAGATAGATGGATAGATAGATAGATAGATAGATGGATAGATTGATAGATTGATATATAGATAGATGGATAGATGGATAATAGATAGATAGATGGATAGACGGATAGATTGATATATAGATAGATGGATAGACAGATAGATAGATAGATAGATAGATAGATAGAGAGATAGATAGATAGATAGATGGATAGATAGATGCATAGATAGATAGATGGATAGATGGATAGATAAATAGATGGATAGATGGATAGATAGATAGATAGATAGATAGATAGATGCATAGATAGATAGATGATGGATAGATAGATAGATGGATAGATAGATAGATAGATAGATAGATAGATAGATAGATGGATGGATAGATAGACAGATAGATAGATATAAAGATCATAAGTACATATACATAGATATAGAGAAATACGGATACATTCGATTGTCTTACCCATTTGCTTGTGTATCTTCTTGAAGCTGGCGAAGCTAAAGTGTCCATTGTGCGTATCGATTAGCGATTCGGGATCATCGGTGGGCATCAGCAGCTCCAGCAGCTCCGTCTCGGTCAGGCCGTACTCCGAGCAGGTGATGTAGGCAGCCAGGCTGGCCACCGCCTGCCGGCCGTACTGCTGCTCCAGCTCGTCGAACTGCTGCTCCACATAGGTGACAAAGTCCACGTCCGGTGGACATTCCTCTGGCCTCTTCAGCTGCGTGGCATTTGCCTCGTGGGAGAGCACGAATTGATATTCCGCCGACTTGAAGCGATCGCGCTGCATGGGCGTAAACTTGAGCTGTTCGACGGACGTGGTCGAGCTGCAGATGATCTGCACGTTCCAGGGCAGCGATGTGGGCAACCAGGAGAGAGCCGCAACAATGTCACAGTCCAGCGGATTCAGCAAATGCAGATCATCGATGAACAGGAACAGCACATCATTGTTCATGTCCTCGATGCGACGCAACAGATTCTGAAACCAGTTGCTAATGTACAGAGGATCGAACGAGGCGTCCTTGGGTAAGTAGCCCTCGGGTATGTTGAAGATAATCGAAATCTGCTGGCAGATGACGCGCAACAGCTCCAAATTGTATGCCGAACGGGGCGTGGCCTTGGCGAATCGTATCACCCGATGCACGCGCGTCGAACTAAACCAGCCCGACACCTGCCCATAGAGGGCGCTAATCAGAGCACTCTTGCCGCTGCCATGGGCGCCGCATATGAAGTACGGTGCATGTCGGCTGCCATTCCTGAAATTCGCCATCAAATTCTGCCGCAACTGGGCCGGCACACGCGACTCCAGGAGGGCCACACGTTCCGTATGCTCGCGCAGTATGCGCAAGTGTGTGGCATGCTCGTGAAAGATTTCCTAAGCGGGGAGAGAGAATGGGGGAATTAGTGTCGCTGTCTCTGTGGCTGGCAGCCATTACTAAATGGGACTCAAATAGTCAACAATCAGCAGCAAAAATTGGACACTTGACATGTTCAGTCCAGCCATGCCAATTGAAGCTTGTCAGCAGCAGGAGCAGGGGGAGCAGGAGAAACAGCAGCAGCAGCAATGGGAAGGAGCAAGGGAAGCAGCAGGAGCAAGAGAAGAAGAGGAGGAGCAGCAGCAGGAGAAGGAGCAAGAGAAGCAGCAGGAGCAGCAGCAGCAGCAGCAGCAGGAGGAGCAGCAGCAGGAGCAGGAGAAACAATAGCAGCAGCAGGAGAAGCAACAGCAGCAGGAGCAGCAGGAGCAGCATCAGCACTAAAAGTTCGCTTCTCGTTTCCTGACCGGGGCATATATTATGCCAAAGTATCATCCGCTGCCGTCTGTCCATCCGTCCGTCTGTCTGTCTGCCTTATAAAGCGCCCTCTGTCTCGATGTGTGTGTGTGTGTGTTTGTAACTTTGTTTACCTGCGCTGCTGACAGTGTGCCACCTGCTGAACTGCGCTGCTGTCACTGACATCCTCATACTCATACTCATCCTCTGGCAGCATCCTTGTGGTTCTACGTGCTCTCATTCACTGGCACTGCCCTGGCACTGGCATATTTACCGCTAACAAGCAGACACCACCCACACGCACACACTCGCACACACTCTCACACACACACACTCACACTTGATGCTCTCTCGAGTCCCCTTCAGTTTCATCTTTAGCTCTGTCTAAGCCATCCAGACGCAGCTCATGCATACACTGCACAACTAAAGCATGAGTTAAGCCCTCAAAGGCGAGCGACTCGAGTGGACAGCAGTTCTTGAAGTTTTATTCTTCCCTTACTTTGGCCTCATGCTAAAAGCTAATTATTATTATAATAAAGTTAAGTTGTGCACTCAATTTTAAACAAAAGCTGAAGACCTTTTCAAATTTACATAAACTTATTGCAGTGCATTGCAAAGAGAGTTAGAGAGAGAGAGAGAGGGAGAGGGGGGAAGCAGGAGGCAGCTGGTGCTATACAAATATCTTAACAATTCCACAAAACTCTGCCTCTACTTCAGCTTTACCCAAAGTTAATTAAAATCACAAATCGAACAACGTTTCTTTCAGTGTACAAGCACCCACATGTGGCTTGAGGTAAACTGCAAAGTTGTTTTTAATCCCTCACCATGGAAAAGTTCAAGCAGCTGAGCTTGCACTCAGCAGCTGCTCTTGCAATATACAGTTAAACGCATCGCCCACAACATTTCGCTCAGTGTATGGCTAGTCACGTTTAGTTTAAATATACTTGAACTAATTGAATTCCAAATCCTCCAGCAGCCTCAAGTTCCAGCAGCTGTTCTTTGTCCAACTGTGAAAGCCACTTCCCTTCAATGCACAATTAGCAGCACATTTCTCTCTGTGTAGAGTCATTCCGAGCCATTCTTAGTTTGTATTAACTTCAACGCGCACTATGCTTAATCCTCTGCTTTCATCAGCTTCTATTCCAGCTGTGTAAGCTACTTATTTATTTGACATCAACTATTGCCGCTTTTCTCTCAGTGTATGGCCAGTCACGTATAGCTTCAATAAGCTTCAACTAATTGAACTTTTTATCAGCTCAGCTTCATTAAGCTGTAGAGCTGTTTATTTTTTTTTTTTTTCTCTCTTTTAGCACATTTCTCTCAGTGTACAGGCAGTCACGTTAAGTTTACAGTTCAGAGTTGAGCGTAATTTCTTCTTTTGTTACTTTTTTCATATTTGCATGTTCAACGTACTCAGCATTTCTTGCAGTGTATACGCAGAGTCACGTTTAGTTTGAATAAACTTTACAATTCTGCTTTCTCATATTCTTCTTGTTCTTATTTGACTGTGCAGAACATTTAAATATTAAATTTATGTATTTATGGTCATCTTTAGTTTAAGTAAACTTTACCTCACAATAGTCTCATTGCAGTTAAATTTTATCTGAGTAAAGTCTCTATTCTATATATAAAGCTGCTCCGGTTTTAACAGTTCAATTTTTTCAAAGTCAAGTCTCTTTTTCAATCAATAAATCTAGCTGGCATTTCCGTGTATGCACTAATTTCTTACATACAGTTTGAACAGCTGTGTGCCATTTTCTCTCAGTGTAACTGCCTTCATTTGCTTCAACAACTTCCAGTCATCTTTTTACTCAAATCTTTCTCCACTTTAATTGCCAAACAAAATCCCAGCACATGCTGCATAAAGTTTCCTTTTAAGCTCTACCTTTTTCCACGCTGCGTTTCGCTCAGTGTACATGTACGCTCAAGTGTATTTCTGGCTTCAATAAGCAGCTTTCGCTTTGTAAATCTGATTGGAACGCTGCACTGGCTGTGGCTCAGCCACTAAATCAACATTTCCACATAAACATGCAGCAGCGGTCAAGTGTGGGCGGAGGGGTATTGTATGAATATGTGTACATGTGTATGTGTGTGTGTGTGTGCCAAGTGCAGATATGTGCTGAAGTAGTCGCTTAATTAGCTCGACATTTGCATACAATTTCATAATACATAGAAATATTGCGCATACGCCATGTGAAACCTTTCCGCTTCTTCGTCTTCTTCCTCTTCTTTTCTAGCCTGTGCTAGTGTTATCTTTGTGTGCGTGCACACTTTGCATATTTCTCGGTTACTTGACGACTTCCAAATGCCACAACATTTTGTCAAAGTGCTAAAGCTGCCTTGAGCTAATGCCACCACACCGAATCCAGGGCCGGCGCTTTGGCGTCGACTTTAAGATAGTGCCACAGCACTGGCGAGGCTTTTAAATTTCAAGGATTCTTGACGAGGAGGGGGAGGGGGCGTGGCGTGTTTGCCAGTGAATGCACTGCCGTTAAGTGCAAACAAGTGCAGTTCGTGTGGGCCGCAGTTGTGCACAAGTGTAAGTGTGTTAATATGTCATGCAGCAGCCGGCGCTCGTATTGGGGCCAGCCAGCGGAAGAAGTGGAGCAGCCCGAGAGGGGCAGAGAGAGGGCGGGTGGCACTGGCAGAGTGTGCGTCCGCTAATGGGGCAGCCAAAGCTCGCATTACGCGGCGTCCTTCGCTTTCTATTTTGCTCTTGTTGCTGTTGTTGTTGTTGCTGTTGAGTTTTTTTTCTCGTTTTGGCCAAGTTGAAATGTTAAATGCTTTTAACAAAAGCCAACGCGCCAGTTCGTGGCCAGCAATGCGGCAAGTCCGGAAGACACAGTCATCCAGCCAGCTCAAACACAGCCCAAACCACCGGCCCAACGTAAATTGTTGCCAGCATCTTGGCAAATTGTTGTTGTTGTTGATTTTTTTGGGCGGGGGTGGAGAGCCAAAAATACTTATGGCTGGCGGCTGTGAAAACCAAGCAAAAATCCAGCCTTGTTTATGCCAGAAAATGAAGATGCCTTGTTATTGGCTTTGCTTTTTGGATTTCCTTCCATTATTATTACGTTCGTTCTCTGTTTTCGTTTGCTTTCACATTTGCTGCTGATGTTGTTGTTGTTGCTCTCTGCCCATCAGCCATTTGGCAATTCAATTTCACAGGTGTTTCAGCAAATATTGAACGAACGAAATTGATAAGCCAGAGAAAATGCCATGTAAGCCACACTAATAGAAAGTCGACAATAAATCAGGCGAGGCTATATAGATTTAATAATGGATTGACTTGAGACTATGCCGTCCATAGTTCCTAACGACTTTTGTGCAATAAATAATAGATGACTTTATAAATATCTAATATCAATATGTGTTTCTCGGAATTGCCTTGGATAGGCGACGGGGCAGGCAGGAGAGTTGTTGGCATTTATTAATATGGGTCTAGATATATTTATAGAAATAATTTATGTGTGGTGACTGTGGAAATGAGCATAATAGCATAGCAGTAGTAAATGCGAGTGGACATTTGAGTAATCAATGGGAATGTCTGCAATTGAATAGCTCTGGTTGATTGTCTAAAAATTCCTATACAGAAGCTGTTCCCGTTTTGGCTGTCTATAGCTAACTGAAATAATTGTCAACTCATATACCCTGACAAAAATTTAAAAATTTAAAAAATAAATATATATACATTTATAATAATCATATGTAGTAATAATAATAAAAATTATAAATAAAATAATAATAATAAATATACATATGCATATAGTAGTAATCACGTTCTTATATTGATTAATTTTTGTATTAATTTATTAATATATATTTAAAGAATCAAATACAAATAAAAAGCAAAACTTTCATAAAAATAATTTTACATATTTTTTTTAAACATTAATTTAAAAAATATTATTTATATTTATATATAATATTTTATATATTTAGTAATATTATTTATATTTTATATATAATTTAAAAAAATATAAATAAATAATTTTAAAAAATATGTAGAATTTTTTAAAGCAAGTTTTGCTTTTTATTTTATTATTATTTTTTATTTAACTACTATATTAAAAAATTTTAAATGATATTTTTTAAGCAAATAAAATAATAATAATAATAATGTAATATTTTACATATATTACACTATTTTACTTTATTAATATATTAAAGGCAATTTTTTTTTTTTTTTATTATTATTATTATTTTTTTAATATTTTTTATTGTTTTAGTTATTTTTATTTTGTTGATATATTAGCATTATTTATTGATTTTTTAATGCATATTTATCTTGCCTCAAAGCATTGTCCTCTACGCTACAGCGACTGCCTACATAATTTACTTGCCTAACATAAACTCTCGCACATATTTAATTAACCTGCCCGCAGCGTCGCTTCAGGCCCATGACAGAATATGGAGTGCCTGCCCCCGGTGCTAGCCAAGCACGAAGAAAACAAAATCTGGAGAATATGCTGTCAAATTTTGAATGGCAAATGCGGAGGAGCTCATAATTTAGAGCTTGTAAAATGCTTGGAATTAATTTATGAGTGTTTCTCATTTGTGGAATGTTTTGCTTTAAGCGTTAAACAATTGGAATGTAGCGAACACTCCTCACTCTCTCTCTCTCTCTCTTTCTTTGCTCTCATTTCTCTTTCTACCTTTACAATTACTGATTAAGGTATGCAAAAACAAATGTTTCGCTGCTGTCTGTTTGAGTAAAAATAAATTAAATTTAATGTTCGCACTGGCGCCGACAAAAACCACTTTGTAGCTGTCTGCAATGTTAATTGCGGGCACAGGCCTCACACCAACCATACCAACCACACCAATCACACCAACCCCCTCGTGCCCCTCTGTTGGATTTGTTTGTCTCACCTGCACAGTCTTTTTCCTCCCCTTGATTACATCGGGATCATTTGTAATGTGCGCCTCGATTAGCAGACGCAGCTTGTCGGTGACTTTGTTCTTGAATTTACTTAAATATGCCTCGTGGTCCTCGTTGTCCGGATCGATAGCCTCGCTGCTGGCGTTACCGGGCACACTACAACAACGACAACAACAGCAATCACAATAATTATGTTTATGATAATGATAATGGCCATAGGAATTATGTGTCGCCGATTAGATTAATGAGCCCCCTGATGCCAGATTTCTTGGACACTTACACTAGAGTCGTGTGATTATCCGTTGATAGGTTCATGGTCAGCTCATCCTTGATTTTACGCAAACGCTCGCCCGCCTCCACATCCCGGCCGCTGCACTGGGCAGCACGTTCCCGGAACACGGCCAATATCTTTTCGCTTGAGTGGACTGTGTGTGCATGTGTGTGTGTGCGTGTGTGTGTGGGTGGGACATTTGATTATTTATATGTATTTCTTGTTAAGCGTTTCCGTTCACATTTACCCATTGCCTGCTGCACTTCCTGTTCGATTTGTGTGCGTCGCAGCAGCTGCACACGCCGCAGCAGATCTGCCTTTGTTGTTGCCGCCAGATGCTGCAGAGATCTGTCCAGCACTTGTCGCAGCTGTCGAGATTCGGCCAGCCACTCATCTGCGGTCAACGAGCTGTAAATTATAGTAGACAGAGACAGATATATTTACATGATGTGCACTCGGCAAATAAAAGGAAAATGCTGTGAAAGATATGTCCTGCTCTTATTATATGTGATATATAGGATATATTCGTTCTGTATATTGCTTTTAGATATAGAATTACATAAATATATGTGTCTGGACCGACAGAACTCAGTGATTCGATCTAGTCTAGTGCCTAACTATAGGTCTGCCTCTTAGGCCTCTTCTTTCTTTCTTTTTTAACTATAATAAAAAATTACTTCAAATAACAGCTCTCATGCAGGGTATCTCTTACTCAGCACTCCCTAAAAGCTCACATTTCTATCAAATATCTCAATTTCTCCCAAGTCTTAAACTAGTTTGAAGGACCAAGAGTCGTGGGCCACCAGCAGCTGTTAGCCTTAATTGCCACATTTCTCCCCGTCAAAGGCTTCATTTCCTGCTTCATTTAAAAGTTTTTCGCTCTCTTTCGTGACTTGGCTTAATTTATTCCGAAAGTCCACATTATATATTCAGCAAATCCCCTTTTGGATTTGATTGAATTGTCCATTCAAAGTTCTTTAATAATTTTTGCTGTCAATGTGTCACAGCACAAAATATATTTTATTCAATCCAAATCTTAAGTGTTTCCATTTGTGTGATAAAACTTAATCAAAAGCCAATCGTAAACTTTGAGCTAATAAATGTCAAGCGTGTCAATAGTAAATTGAGTTTCATTCTTTTAAAGAACCATTTCAAGTATCACAGACGGTTACACTCACAAAAGATATATAATATATATATATATACTATATATATGTATGTCTGTGTTTGTATCGAACAGCTTGTCACGCTTTGTTGTGAGTGGCAATAAATGGTAAAGAACTAAGAATTTCATTAAGCACAATCATCGCCATCAGCATTCGAGCGACATGAGCGCAAATGAAAAGCCTTGAGCTGGATAAAGGATATGTGATATAAACGTGCCGCTGTCAAAGTGAATGCCTCGCAGTGTGCTAAACATTTAGTTGCATATCCGCCGGCTAAGTGGAAGCTTAAGCACGTTGACTAAGAGGCAAAGGCAAACGAATCGACAACAAAAATGGTTTTAAACAGCAAATGGGAAGCACTTAAGAAGACAGCAGTAAATGTGGACTGTAGCTAACAGCAGCTGCGAGTCAATAGAATGCTGACTAACAGCGCTGCTTAGATATTCTTTTGAGCTGAGAGTCTAGCGTTAACAGATCCTGTTACCCACCCTGCACTTCATGTGTGTGCTAGCGGCTGGCGCTAACAGACTCTGTTAGTTAATAGACACAGCAGATCTATGTATGTTAAACTGTATAAATAAGTCAGTCAAGACTCAAAGCAAATTGTAATTAAAATTTAAATATATAGATTTTGTGTCGCAGTTAAAAAAAAACTTGAAGTCAGCATGAAATGTAATCAATGTGCACATTAAACAGCCTGCAAAAGTTGTTAGGCTTAACAGACTTAATTAGCTTACAGCGCTCTTGCAACTGCAGCAGAGTGTTATAGCAGACAGCTTTCAGTTGAGTGCTTTTTATTGTTATTAAATAAAGCCATTTGGCTTTCTGGCTAATTTGAGATTTTACTAATTCTAAACTAACCTGTAAATAATAAATCTGTTTTTTATCATAAACAGCCAAATCGCAGCTGTTATTTCCAAATAAATACAAATAATCGACCATAAAAATTATTTAAGCATAATTTTAGCACTTCAATTTACGCTCTGAAATAAATAAATTGCAACTTAATACCCTAGAAGTGCAAAGCTGAGCCATGGCAAACGCTGAAACATTTATAAATAGAAAACATTTAAATTTCCTTATAAATGTATTTTTTTTTTTTAGTTTTCTATTTGTTCGTAGAATTTGCATGCAATTGCTTTGTAGTTGCTTGGCAATTGGCTAATGCAGCTAGCTGTTGACATTTAGCATAATTGGAAGTCATATAACGTGCGCCACGCCCACAAAAAAAGGCGCAGCCCTTGTTAGCTTACGAAATTGTGCAAACATTTGCGTGCACTGTGTAAGCAGCTGCAATTGACTTGGCTAACAAGAGCTGAAGGCAATTTGCAGAAGTCGTACGACTCACCAATAGTCCCGTTTGAGCACGTGCTGTTGTTGCTGCTGCAGCTGCGGCTGCTTGGGTTTACTGGCAACTGTATACCAGCGCGCTAGCAGCTCTTTGTCCTGCGCTGTCACCTGCTCCACGGCGAGGAGCGCTGCATAGATGTCAGCGTCGATGTGCGTGGGCAGCGGCGGGCGTCCAATGCCGTCGCCAATCAGGGCCAAGAAGAAAACGCTTTTCGAGTGGGCATGGCAAGTGTCGATCTCGTGCAGATAGTCGGCCAGCATATACGGATCACGATCCAGCTGTGTCACCTCCAGGGCGCCGGTGCCAAAGTGCATGTCCACGATTTCCAGCTGCAAAAAGGAGAAAAACTCTTGAGTAATGTTAAATGTGAAAGGCTGGAAGTTAACAGAGCTACAGCAATGGCTGTTAAGATTCTAATAGAATATACATATGCTGCTATGTTAAGCACTTATTTTTCTGTTGAATACATTTGCCTTTATGTTAACCCACCTCGATTTGACGATCGTCGTAGAGCGTTTGCAGTTCGGGTCCGACCAGTTCGAGCAGCATGCGTCGCTCCTGATAGAATTCCTGCTTCAGGCTGGCGACGTAGATTTTGATAAGCAGCGGCTTGGGTAGGCGTGTCTGGGCGGTGGTGACGCCTCGCAGCGCATTGAGTACGCTCTCATCGATGGGCGCTGCCATTTTGGTTGGACAAATGCTTCAAGCCAACACGACGGGGCAACGAAAAACAAACAGTTTGTTGACAACTATCTCTCTCTCTCTCTAGCGCTCACTTTTAGCCTTATTTATGGTTTATAGGCGTGTGTGCGAGAAATTGCTCGATGTGCGTATGTGTGTGTGTGTGTGCGTCTGTCTGCTGCCCTGTTTATTTAACTTGGCCAAAATCAAGTGGCAACGGCGTCGTCGTTGTTGTTGTTGTTGTTGCCCTCGCGGCAGCTAACAGCAGCGCAAAGCTTTGGCACATGTTCAACATCAATTCGCATGCATGCTGTATCTATAGCTGCACATTTGTATCTGTATATATGTATATAGTATATGTATCTGTGTATCTATGTGTGTGTGTGGTAGATGGCACAGGAACTGTGTGTTTGCATTGCCTGCCAGCAGCTTGCCGCCAACATTTGCCCCGTGTGCATTGCGATCCCCGTGGCAAAGTTTGAACCCTTTTTACGTCCTGCTCCTCTTTGCTCGTCCTCCTCGTCCTGCTTGTCGTTGCCTGCGAGACACAAATTGAAAAGCGTAAATGTATTTATGGCATTGGCGAAAATTTATGTAAAAAATAAAGGAAGCGCACAAAAATGTTCAGCAAATAAATCGAAAAGTTTTTACAAAGTTTTTCTGGTGCGAATCGCTGTTTTATGATCAGCGAGCTGACACGAGCTGTGGCATGTGTTAACAGTTCACTGCATTTCTCGTAGATTGAGCCAAATTCAAACTAAAAACTAAAAACTTGTTTGCCAAACTGCTCCAACAACAAGCAACAACAACAACAACTTGAATCGCATTGCGAAAATCATTGGACAATAATTTGTCGCTCACCATTTATATACTCTAAAGCTCTAAAGTTCACTCGGAACTAGGTCAAATGAAAAACTAATTGAGTAAATGAAATTCAATCACATAATTTACGAAAATCCATTTAGATTAGTTGGCTTTTAGCTTCGATTTGAGTTTAGCTTGATGGCTTAATTTTTAGCTGGCAAAGTAGTTTAAGTAAATTAACGTATTTAGCTATCAGAAACGTTGGCGCATGTTACAAATTTAATATACGTTAACAGATGGCAGTTAAGCAGTAAAATTCTGGCTTGACTTAGTAAGCAGCTCCCCCCTGTGCTAAGCAGGCCGCTCTCTCCCTGTTAAGTAGACAGATCTGCCTCTATTGAGTTGGCTGCTCTGTTTCTGTTAAATAGACAAAACTGCCTCTGTTTAGCAGGCACTTCTGCCTCTGTTAGGTACGCAGTTCTTCCCTCTGTTAGGCAGTCAGCTCTGTTCCTGTTAAGTAGACAGATCTGTTGGCTGCTCTGCTTCTGTTAAATATGCAGATCTGCCTCTATTAAGCAGTCAGCTCTATCCCTGTTAAGTAGACAGAACTGCCTCTATTGAGTAGGGTTCTCGTCTCTGTTAAATAGACGAAACTGCCTCTGTTTAGCAGGCACTTCTGCCTCTGTTAGGTACGCAGCTCTTCCCTCTGTTAAGCAGTCGGCTCTGTCCCTGTTAATAGACAGATGCGCCTCTATTGAGTTGGCTGATCTGCCTCTGTTAAGCAAGTGAATTTCAGTTTCTGTTAACTGCCCAACCCGTATACGTATATCAAATTTATAATTATTCTCTCTGAGCACTTCACGCCCACTTTCACACACATATGTACATATATACGAGAAAAAAATGTGAAATAAATTATGAATATAGCTGCAATTAATTCATTAATCAAACATAAGAGCTCTTTGTATCGACCACACATTAATTTGTATTTTAATTAGTGCAGGTAAATACAAAAGTTAAAGTATATCAATTATAAAAACATTTCACTTTTTTTACAAAGCAGTGCGTTGTGTTGTTTATTCAACCTTGCGCTAAATGAAATTTTAATAAATTTGTGGATTTTCAAAGGCGTCTGCAATGAATGGAATCAGTGTAGTTCTTATGTGTTGTTCGTAGCTCAACGCGTTTGGGGCTTTAATGGAGCGAGCAGGACAGAGAGCAGGACATGGGCGCATGGGCTTAAAGCACAGCGAGTGTGCGGTCTAATGAAGACTCGATGGCGAGTTCTTTGGCTAACAAAATCGATTGCAATTAATTCCGCTTCAATGAGTTGGCTAAATTGCTCGTTTGAGTATTGGCCAGGACGCAGCTAAACAGCAGCCCAGCTCAAAGGCAGCCACAGAGATGTGTACATGTATGTATATAAATAAAAAAAGGTATATGTATGTATGTGTATGTGTGTCTATATCTTAATCAAAGGTGCTAAGGCAACGCGTACTGCAATTACCAAGGCGGCCTTGCAATGACAGCACACTTCACTAAACAACCCAAACCCACGCGCAGACCCAAATCGAAAGCCAATGCCAAACCCTAGGAATCCCAGGCGAGTGAGTCCCCATTCCAGTCCCCAATCCCTCCTCTTAAGTCAATAAATATTTAATGGTCAAACAAATTGCGTCTAATGAGCGCTGGCTGTGAATGTAGGCAGCTGCTCTCATTTTCCAAATCAGATTTTTATACTGGCTGCCAAAAGTAAACGCACACACACACATACACACAGGCAGATAGATGGGTCTAACTGAGCTATTGCAATAGACAATTACCTAGGCCATAATGAAAGCGATCCGCATGCCGATTAACCCCATTATTAGTCAATTTCCTGCACACAGCGAACGCTCGGCTCCGTCAGCTGGCGCAGGCACAGACGACAGTGGGTGCTGGAAATTAATGTCCACACCAGTTCTAACATATGGCCCAAGGCAAACACACACATACACAGAGAGAGAGAAAGAAAGAGAGAGAGCTAGAGTGCCGCTGTCCTTATCAGTGAGCAGCCTGGCCACTGGCCGGTGTCAAATGACTTCCATTAGTAGGGGCCAAGCATTTAGCCCGTCCGCCCCCCCCCCCCCCCCCCCCCCCCCCACCTAGTATCTATTATCTGTGGGCGTGACAATGAGTTGGCATATTTAAGCATTGCCAAGTCGATGCTTAAATTTCATATATTTGTTATTAAATATTTACCAAGCAGCCAACGCAGCCCTGCAACAGTCTTGGCCAAGCTATGAGCCGTGTTGCATCGACCCCACTCGGCCATCAGCCTTGCCCTGAATGGGGCCAACAAGCCTAAGGCAGCCACATAATTGAGGTCACAATTCGTTGCATTCAACATGGGCAGCGGCGCTATTGTGAACTATAATTCTCCGATAGTTATTAAGTGCTTTACGCTCGACTGCTGCCCTGGAATTGCAGCTGCAGAGGCACGTGCCGGAGCTTACGCAAAGTTTCTAAGATCTTTAAGAGGTTGCTTTGGGTATGGAATCTAACAGAATTGTTAGTTGAATACCGTTGGCATATATTTCTTATGGTCTTGTGCGAAGAAGTTTTATAAATTTGGTAATTAATGATAATCACTTATGTTAGAATTAGTTTTATTTGCTATTAAAGAGAACAGACTTTATAGCATTTTCCACATTATGATGTTTATTATGGCAGGCATTTATGGGTATTTCTAGGAACTTTCTAGAGGCTGATAGGAAAGAATAATTTTGCAAGGAAAACAAATTATTGGTCAAGTAATCTAATGACAGAATTTAGTAGATCTAGCGATATCCATCACTCTGTGTTTAATCTCTCCCAGGTTATTCAGCTCATCTGTTCTTTCTCCGTTCATCCCCCCTCTGTTGATCCGTCTATCTATCCATCTGTATATCTGTACATCTGTCTGTCTGTACATACATCCGTCCGTCTGTACATACGTGCGTCCATACATTTATCCAGCCCGCCTTCAACTCGTTCCTGCATCCGTCCGTCTACCCTTCCGTTCATTCGTTTAGCTATTCAAAGATGATTATATTTCTCTCTAATAATTTAGATACATATTCTTCTACATTACCAAGTATTTTTCAAATAAAACTTTAAAGATCCCATAAAAAAATCAAAACATTAATTATCTATCCTTATTTCCTTCCTTCCTTATTTTATGCTGCTTAAGCAATAAACTTTAATATTAAATTTTAATTTCAATCGTATTATCCGAACGACCCAAATCTCTGCTCTTAAATAACCTTAAGATCTTGGGACTGAATGTATAATATATAACCTTAAAGGATATGCTCGTATAATATACAATATATTTACAATTCTTTGCTTTAATAAAGCAACCCAATGTGGGCCCTTCTCAACCAAAAAAAATCTATGAAATCTATTAAATTAAAAAGAGCTGATTAAGCGCGCATAAAACTAAATACAGCACTTAAAATGCCACATTTAAGGCTGTGTATCTGTTTGTGTGTGTGGCCCTCTCTGTGTCTGTATTGGTGTTACTGTAAACGTTGCTCCGATTGGCAAAAGTTACACAGTCATAACTTTTGGGGCCCCCGGGCGAGTTGGAGAATCGGTCACAGCTACAGAGCTTAATTCAGGCAAAAGCCAAGTGATTTGGCTTCTTTCTTTATGTTGTATAACCAAGTAGAAGGGCCATGGGATGTGGGGGGGCGTGGCATGGTTGGCGAGAAGGAGGCGTAACCGAAAATAAAATATTGGTTGTGACGCGCTACGCATAAATAAATTAATGGTAATAAGTCAAAGGCCGCAACAGGCTGGCAAAAGTGAAGCGAGAGATGTGGAGCAGGTGGTGCGAGTGGTGCGAGTGGTGCGGCAAAACACAAACACACAAACACACACACACACACAAATAACAAGACGCGCCCAAATGGCAAACAGCAAGCAGACGGAAAGAAGGCGCTGCGTGCTGGGCGATAGGCAGAGAGAGAGAGAGAGAGAGAGGGAGAGAGAGAGAGAGAGGGAGCATGGTTGTGCTAAGTAATGGTCGAAAGCGAAAAAGAACGCAAATTCAGCAAATAAACAATGTGGCAAACATTTTAGAAGCGCTGGCAAACAACAGCAACAACAACAGCAGTCTACAACAACAACAACAACAAGTGGAACGTGGAACATGCAACGTATGTGCCCGGCACTCATTCCGATTGCGTGGCATTAATATTAAATGCGTCGCAGCGCACGTGTGTGTGTGTGCGTGTCTATGTTACACACTCACTAGCAGACTAGCAGACACACACACACACGCACACATACTAGTCGCTTAGCTGCTCATTTTTCTTATAAATATTTAAGCCAAATTCCAACATACAAAATTAGAGCAGTTGCTATTCATTTGCACTCGCTGCTCCTGCCTGCAACTGTTACGTCGGCCTCTATTTAGCTACCCCACCTCACCCTCCCCCCACTCCCCTCCCTCTCTCACGCCTCTAATATAAACAAGTTTCTCGGGCTTCATGGCCTGCATTTATATGCCAAGGCAGCAGAAACTTCTG